TGAGGCGGCGCGCCGCGGGCGACAGCGGCTGCGGCGTGGCGTGCGGCGGTGGCGACGGGGCGTCGTCGTCGTCGTCCGACTCGACGTAGCGGTAGCGCGAGAAGCCCGGCACCGAGAAGGCGAAACCTAGCAGGGCGCCGTGCGAGAACCACGGGCCTAGGTAGGTGAGGTTGCGACGCACGCACCAGCGGGCGGCTCGCGCCGGCGTGAACGGGAGGCGCAGGTAGACGTCGGCGGGCCCGTTGAGAAGGCTGGTGGACGGCACCGAGATCGAGGACGGGCCCCATGTGACGTCTGAGATGGGCGGGGCAGGAGAGGCGTTGGGGAAGCAGACTTGGTGCCCGTGCACCGGGTCGCGGATGAGGAGCGACATGGCGATGGCGTTTTAGGTTGGGGGAGGGGAGGGGAGAGGAGAGGGACAAAGGGCGGCGCGTTCCCAAGGAGGGTTTGAACTCGGCCACGTTGATCCGTTCTGCACGGGCGGGGGATTGGCATGTAATGGGACCTTGCAAAGCGGAGTAAATACAATTATGGGTTTGTAATTATATATGTAATTAGCGTATGACAATGTGTACATTACAGCGAGGGAAATTACAGACGACGCGTCATGTCAGCAGGTGTGGCATCGCATGCTGCCCGTTACAGACGAATGCACAACTGCAGCTCCACGTGATACGAGCAGCCCCGCCATCACTCTGCCTCCCTCTGCCTCCCTCCAACCCCTTTTTTACCGAATACGTACATACATGGTCGACTCACTCCCCCTCGCGTAATCGCAACCCATTCTTCACCACCCCCCCCCCCCCCCCTCCGCCGACATGGACCCCACCACGCTCCACGAATGGCTCCCGCGCGTGCAGCGCAACCTCTCGCGCTGCCAGGCCGATTATATCACGGCGGCGCGCCGCCTCATGTACATGGTCAAGGCCGTCGACCTCACGCTTGAGTCGCTCTACACCGGCCCTGCGCTCGAGCGCGCCGTCTGGCGCTACGAGGCCCTGTGGTACCCGTTGCTCGCTGCCGTGGCCCAGCATCCATCCAAGCAGCACCCGGAGCTCCACTGGGTGCACCACGCCTTCGCCACAAAGGTCGACGAGATCCGCTCCAAAAACTTCTCCCGCGGCGGCTTGTGGCTCTCCATGGAGGACCTGGTCCCCCCGCTGGACATCGCGTGGGTGTGGTATGTCCACCGCATCAACCCCACGGCGTACGCGGCCGACCTGGCGCAGTATGCGCGCGAAGGGCACGCCCCCACCGTCGTCTTCATGCGCGACGCCGCCGCCACCACGCTGGACACCGCCTTCAAGTTCAGCAACGGCGAGGACGCGCAGAGCAAGCCCACCCGCCGCCTCTGGGACATCGTGTACCCGTTTGAATCGTTCATGCCCAAGTATCTCCTTTCGCACTCGTACGAGCAGGAGCTGCTCACCAAGCGCCAGCACATCACCAGCTATACGAACGAGATCAATCGCGCCGCCTTCCGCTCCGTCCTCAACTACGACCTGGTGCACGCCGCACGCCTCCAGAAGGCCTTTGTCTACCAGATTGTCGACGAGCACCAACCGGAAAACGCTGAAATCTTCGAGACCACGCCGTACCTGGACCGCGCATACCACCGCTACCTCCAGTTTCTGCTTCTGCACGACCGCGCCCCGGGCACGTTCCTGGTGCCGATGAACGACATCAACATCATGTGGCACATGCATCTAGCGGCCACGCGCGAGTACCAGCACGACACCCACGTGCTCATCGGGCGCGCGCTGGAGCACGACTCCATCGCCGTCGAGGGCATGCGCAAGAAGTCGGTCGACGAGATGGAGGCCAAGATCGCCGCCACCGCCGATGGGCCCACAGAGCTCAGCGAGATGGAGGACGAGGAGCGCGCCGACCTGCTCGACAAGCGTCGTAGGGGCGTCGCCGTTCGCGAGACAAAGGTTCTCTGGGAGGCCCTGTACGGTGCGAAGCCCAGGTATGACCTCCCGGACACGTGCTATCGCGGCGAGCCGCCCGGGGAGCGGGGCGGGTTCTATGAGATGTTTGAGAAGGTCAACGGCACTACGAAGGACATTTCCTGGCATGAGACCCTGCTCCGCATGCTGCTGGCTATGATGGTTTTTGCAGCCGGCTGCATGGTGTTGGCGTGGTCGTTTTGGAGGACGATGCGCACACATGGCATGTTTTTGGTCGGCCTTCCGGCGGGGCTGTGCGTCATGGGGCTTGGCGTCTACATCTTCCTCGCCATTCCTATCAGCCGCCCGCTGTCCTCGACGTCTAGGTACTGGCTGGAGAAGTCGTACAAGCAGATGCACAATCCGTTGCCACCATATTTAATCTCGACGAGCAAAAAGTCCTTATAGATAGAGTGTTGATTGTAGGGCTGTCAGAACGGCTAGTTTGGGAACGAGGATGGCGGTCACTCAGGACGCTGCCTCAGCCTGGGCGTTTTGAGTGATGGGCGTTCTCGGCGCGTCTGTCGCAGGTTACTCATCCCGCCGTGCATTTTCGTCTGCAGTGGATATAGATAGACTGTTATCAGGGGTGCTTTTGACAATTATACTTACGAACCTCTCACTTGCTTCTAAACTAGACTGAACTAGGCAGCGTTTATTTGTATGTAAAACGGTATGAACACCATGTACACCTGCGTCAAGAGTGAATAACCGAGCAATTCGGCTGCGATACATAATGTGACACAATCCATGAAAACTCAACATGTTAAACTCAAACGAAACGCCCACACACCAGCGGCAACTCTTGTCCTTGTACACGGATCCCCCATCATCCCACTCTCAAGAAGCCCGAGGCCATGAGCTTCTGGATTTTCCCGGCGACATCCGGGTCGCGCATCGCCTTGGCGGCAAACTTGGGGTCCTCTTGCATCTGTTTGAGAAGTGTATTCATCTGCGGGTCTTGAAGAATCTGCTGAATTTCGGGGTCCTGCATCGCCTGGTCCATTTGCGCTTGGTCGACCTCACCAGAGCTTTGCTGCTCCTGGATCTTCATCTGGGTCTTCATTAGTCCCTGGCGCAGTTCTCTGTTGTTAGGAGCGAGCTTGAGGCCCTTTTCGTAGATGGTGAGACACTTGTGATATTCCTTCATGTAAAAGTGAACGTTTCCCTTGCGAATGTATGCCTTGACAAAATCTGGATCAATATCGAGACAGCGATCGCAATCCTTCATGGCCATAGGCAGTTCACCAAGCTTCATGTAGGCAGCGGCGCGGTTTGAATATGGAGCGGCATCCTTCGGGTTACGCCTGATGGCGTCTGTATACTTTGCAATGCTCTCGGGAAACTTGCCAGCCTTGAAAAGCTCATTCCCCTCCGCCCGGACCTGCTTGGACAGCTCTGGGTCAACGTAGGCCTCCTCAATCTTCCTCGTGCGAGTCCTCTCTGCTTCCCTTAAGGTGCGTGTGACCTTTGGATCTGAAAATTCGAGAAGGCTCTTTTCAAAGGACTTGATGGCGTTATCATAGTCGTCCATCTTGAGATATGCGTTGCCCATGCGACCGTACGCGCGGGCAATGATCTTGAAATCAGTCCTGAGTTGGCGCTCGGAATTATCGGCAATGGCCTTCTTGCAGTCGTCGATGGAGCCCTGGATGTCACCGCTCTCCAGTTTAGCGGCCGCACGGTTGGTGAGGAAGGACATGTTGTCCGGGTCAATCTCAATGGCTTTTGAATACGCGTCAATGGCAGCGGCAAAGTCGCGCTTCTTGTACGCAGCCGTGCCGCGGTCCTTCTCGGCGAGGGAGTCGCGCTTCTTCTTCTCCTCCGGGGTGAGGTTCTCCGGCTCGGGCTCTGGCGCGGGCGGGGCTGCCGGCTCCGCGGGTGGGGCTTCCCTCGATGCTGCCTGCGGCGCGGCGTCGGACATGGTGGCGTCCTCGACGACGGTCTCGGACGCGGTGGAGCCGGGCATGGCGGTGGACTGCTGGGAAAGGGCGGTGAAGAGCTTTAGGACGCGAGGATCGGCGATGTGCTTGGACAGGGCGGTCGGGTCGGACTTGAGATCGTCAAGGACGGGTTTGAAGGACGGGTCTGCGAGGAGGGCGGCCGTCTCGGGGTTCTTGCCTAGCTTTTCCCATAGCTCGGGGCCGAAGAGAGGATTCATGGTTGCGGGGGAGTGATGGCAGGCGCGGCGTTGCAGGTAGACGGAAGAGGTGTCTGGAGCAACGTTGGTCTGGAGATGGTGCGGAACGCCCGGCGCAACGTCGTTTGAGGGGAGTGGAGACGTATATATCTTATATTATAAGGCGGCCACGGTCGATGCGTTTGCGATGGATCAATCTAGAGCACCTTGATCATACTTATGCCGCATGTTTCCTCGTGTCCCACGTGTCCAATTTGAAATTACATTTTGTGAATTCAAATTTGTAGTTACACAAGGGCAACACCTCAATGCAAAATCTCAAAAAGTCGACAAGTCCCACAACGCCTCCTCACCTCACCGTCCGGTCGGGGAAGGGGTCGCACCGCCCCCGCCAGAATCCCCGCCGTCATCGCCTGCCGCACCTCGCCATCGCCATGCCTCCCGCCTTCCTCCCCACCGTGCCCCCGACCTTCCTCCCCCGCCATGGCCTCCCCCACCGCCAAGCCCTGCCCTCCTGCTCCCGCGCCCGCTCCCCAGCACCCCGCATGACCGTGGCCCCCCCATGCGTCGACGGCTCCTTCTGGCGCCTCTCCGATGACGAGCGCCGCCGCGCCATGACCCTCCCCGACACCGCCAACTTCCACGCGAAGTACCGCGCCTTTGACGACTCCGACGTCTCCGAGTACAACCTCGACCAAATCGTCTACCGCGCGAAGAACGGCGGCTTGCTCGAAGTCGAGCACGACATGGACGCCTTGCGAAAGTTCGACCCGGCCCAGTGGCGCGAGCTCTTTGACAGGCGATCCGGTAGAACAGTGTGGCCGTACGGCTCGGGGGTGTGGAGCAAGAAGGAATGGGTCCTCCCAAACTTGCCGGACGAAGACGTCGTGAGTATGTTTGAGGGCAACAGCAATCTCTTCTGGGCGGAGAGGTTTGGCGCCCAGCTGGGCATGTCCGACTTGTGGGTCAAACAGTGCGGGAACAGCCACACGGGCTCGTTCAAGGATCTCGGGATGACGGTGTTGGTGAGCCAGGTGAACAACATGATCAAGAACGGCGCCGACATCAAGGCCGTGGGCTGTGCTAGTACGGGCGACACCAGCGCCGCCTTGGGCGCATATTGCGCCGCCGCGGGTATCCCGAGCATCGTCTTCCTGCCCGCCGACAAGATCAGCACCGCGCAGCTCGTCCAGCCCATCGCCAACGGCAGCCTCGTCCTCAGCCTTGACACCGACTTTGACGGATGCATGAAACTCATCCAAGAGGTTGTGGACGAGTACCCGATCTACCTTGCAAACTCCATGAACAGTCTCCGCCTCGAGGGGCAGAAGACCGTCAGCATCGAGATTGCACAGCAGTTCGACTGGAACGTGCCTGATTGGATTGTCGTCCCGGGCGGCAACTTAGGCAATGTGTACGCGTTTTACAAGGGATTTGCCATGATGAAGGAGCTTGGTTTGACCGACAAGCTCCCGCGCATGGCCGTCGCCCAGGCCGAGAATGCAAACCCGTTGTATCTCAGTTACCTCAACGACTTCAACGACTTCAACCCGGTCGTCGCCAAGCAGACGTATGCCTCGGCCATCCAAATTGGCGATCCGGTTTCCATCCACCGCGCCATCCGCGCGCTTCGCGCCACCAACGGCGTCGTCGAGCAAGCCAGCGAGGAGGAGATCATGGACGTCGCTGCACGCGCCGATCGCACGGGCATGTTCAACTGCCCGCATACGGGCGTCGCGCTGGCGGCCCTGGAAAAGCTGAGACAAAAGAATGTCATCAGCGCCGATGAGCGCGTCGTCGTCGTTTCCACAGCTCATGGCCTCAAGTTTACAGATAGCAAGGTCGCGTACCATGAGAAAAAGCTGGACAATTGTAGATCGCAGTATGCTAACGATGTTAAGCGCGTCGAGCCGAAGGTAGGGAGCATCATCGACTCTATCCGTGCGCGTATTGAGATCTAGATTCGTGTAAACGTCATTGACTGCCTGCCTGCTACATTTTTGGGAAATTCACTTGCCAGTGCTTCAGTCTCGCCTTCACACACCTCCGTCGCAACCAGGCGGTGTGATGAAAAGTGGCTGCTCGAAAGGCACCGCTACTCGCCGTCCGCACAGTACGTCGTTCTATTGCTGAAATCGAGAAGAAGAAGGCAGTCAATACTCATGATTTATACCGTGCTATCGTAAACGGTATCTTCTGCTTGCAAAAAAAAACAAAAAACAAACAAACAACAGAGAGACAAGATTAAGCTCAAGGATCTTCCCACCTTCGCCTCGGCGCGCTTCCGGATCCCTCCTCAAGTAGTGCACCTTATAGAATTCCTCGCTCTGCGAGAACAGCTGCTTGCCGAGCCGAATCGGAAAGCAGCTGCGGGCGCAGAGCGAGGAATACGATAAGGTGTACTACTTGAGGAGGGATCCGGAAGCTTCACGATCCCTTCCCCGCTCGGCGATTTCTTCCGCCCGAATGAATTACATCCACAGTGGCGGACACGCTGCATCTGCACATGGCACAAGCTACTTCTCGTGCGGTCGCTTCCGGATAGTATCACCAACGTGCCATCGAGGAGGTGTACATGGAGCGATAACGCAGCAAGGCTGAAGTGTCCTTCTTGCAAACGGGCGTTGGCGATGTCGCTTCGGCTGTTGGTAGCCTGTTCATACCAACTATTAGTTCCAGTTGAGGCTTCTTCAACGATGCGGACAAAGAGCAAAGGTGAAGAACTTCCTACAAACAAATATAACTTGTGTGCTGGCCGTAGATGCGAGCCCCGCCGTGCTTTATACGTCCATTTTTCCGCTCCGGACCACGAATAACTCAGGGAGACCAGCGAGAGACAGCAGTAAACAGACTGCCAATATCTAATATGTTCCAAACAACCTTACCATCTCATATCGCGCACAACTTTCCCGTCACACGCTTGTTTCCTCGAGTTAAATTTCAACTCCTCCACATAAACTTGGAAAGTAAAAGTGGCATGTACATTCTCTCTACAACGCAGGTAGATGTCGTTTCTTGATCTTGCGTGCTGCCCTTTCGCTAGCTCTAAACTGGAGAGCCGGCAGCGAAATCTCCAATGCAATCTTGCCAAACTCAATACGAATCACCGCAACGTTCTTCGGAACCGTGAGCGCCCGGTCCTTCTCGGTGACCACTATGATGGTATTCGCAGTCTCCGCGACGAGAATTCCCTTAATGCCTACGAGCCCCGGATCGCGCGACCTCACCACGTGGACAGGCGCTCCATGCAGGTCCATGCGCAGCACGCGGTCGCCGTAGTTGGTCACGTTTTCATCCTTGATCAGCTTGGATGCGTAGTCCGTCCACAGCTGCATAAGAGGGACGTATAGCTCGTACTTCTGCTCCGCCTTGGGGATGACGACTTTCCCAGCGGCCGCGCGTCCCTTTTTGCGCGATTTGAGCTTCGTATCAGTTTTTTTGACTTTGCTGTCGCTGTCCAACAGCAGAGCGCGGTTTCTCACTCGAGCGTTCAGCGCGTCCTCAGCGGGTATGTTGGCGCCGCGGGGGAATGGCAAGATGGAACCCAGCGATACAGACGAGGGTCGCGCGTTAGTACCGCCGAGTCGCTGAGGCAGCGGCTCGTAGAGACCTACACTAGCCCGTTGTTCCTGGGCCATCCGGCTGAAGTGGGGAGTCGAAGTGGGGATAAACGGCGGAGGCAATTGGGAATGCTGCACTGGCCGCCGGCGTCGTACTTGGCGGCAGGGCGAAGGCAACACTCCGGCACAGTGAAGGTGTGAGAGTTGCAGATAATCGTTTTCCAGAATTTGCTTTTCCGCGACTCTTTTTCTGATTACATGCTCAATCATGCGATAAAGTATATCGATATACTCTCCAGGTATGATCGCGACCACAAGGTCGGTCGTGGAACTGGTTTTCTAGATTTCTGTAGCGCATACGAAGAAAATGAGCTTTTACCCACTGGCGAAGGCGGAGATGGTCCTCGTCCTGGCACTGTTCAGAGTTTGTGTTGAAAAAGGGCGCTGCATCCTCCTTCAACTAGCCCAAACATGCATTGTTACAGAAGCTTCGATACGCGTCTTGCAAATGCCGCATGCCGCCTCCGCGCTGAGAAACACGAGGAATCGTCCGCCTCATCGAAAATAGATAGAATCTTTTTATTCGCTGCATCTCTAACTCTCCGACACCCGTACTGGCATCCATGACTTCTAAAAGCCTCGAAAAAGCAGACTATACGGCAACCAATAAATTACAAAGCCGGGGAAGACTGGGCGAAGCCGGTAGCGACTTCGGGGCCGGCAGCGACAATGACATCACCATCAGTGTCGAGCTTGCCAGCGGCGGCGCCAGAGTCCTTGTCGGCGGCGACACCAACGGCAACGTTGCCGGAGGCCTGAACGCCGGTGCCGTTGCCGAGGAATACGTTGAGGTCGGCAGGGATGGGCGTGGCTTGAACCACGGGGGATGGCGTCGGCGAGGGGTGGACCTTAGTGGCAGTGACTGCTCCGATAATGGTAACGATGGCGAAAATCTTGGACATCATTTTTTTGGTTTGGTTAGGGAGGAAGAGGATGGGTGAAGTGGTTAGGATTAGAAGATGCTGGATGAGGTGAGGAGAAGAAGCTGACGACTGCAAAGACTATCATGTTACTTAAACGCTTCGAGATTCCTTCATTCTCTCGTGCTTTTCCCTCGCGGTGAGGAAGAGGCAACGTCTGCCCCGGCGTTTGTACATTTAGCTCTATTGGGCCACTAACAACCTGTCAGGAGGTCTTCCCCATTGCGAATGAATCGGGTCCCTCAATGTATCCAACGTTCAAGGGAAATAGATGGAGTGATTCTTTCCAGCCCCCATGCTTTCGGGCCATTTCTCTCTATTCACACGGTAACTGCATCGATATGTCGTACATCTCCGTGGTCCAAGCAGTTCAGCAAAAGTGCGAATTGCTCTTTGTGTCCTTGGGCGGACTAACTCGAACTACGAAAAGCTTTCACCTACAGCGGTCGTCTTTTCTCTTGGCGACAATTCTAGTCCGAATTGCGTACCCCTATCGAACATTCGGCGGCGACCTGCAGCAATGAATCGCGCGAATGTCGTAGGAGACAAGCATGATAGATACTGTAATCCATAAAAAGGAAAAGTAACGCACAGGGCCTGATGTATATTTAATGAATTTAGGGCCATTTGCGGATCTTGGGGTGACAGGTGCGGCTTTTGATGCCCCTGGGGAGGTGAAGTTCTAGCCCTGGGGGTGTTTTGGGGGCGACTACCCCAATTGAGGTGGCATTGAAGGGCGACGTTCCTCATTCATCCAATTCCGAGGGTGACGTCGCCCTAAGAAAACGACATGTTGAAACATGCCGATCTTTGTCTGCGAAGGAGTACACGTAGTTGCTTAACTCAAAAGCGGTTCAAACACAACAGGAATGCTTGAATGGCCTGTTCGGCGTTCAGTGACAAAAGGCAAGAAGCTCCCAGCGCAAGTCGGACGAGGAAAATTCGGGACTTCTGCTACAACATGCAGTAGTTTGAGCAATAGTACTGTGCTACAGTGCGTATTACGGTAGATGAATTTAGAATAGCGCCACCACCCGTATTCCCTTGTTTTTGACACGCGTACGGTATTTGCGGCTATGAAACTCATGCGCCAATTTCACTTTCCTACACCAGAAGAGCCCCTCCAAGTTGGGAGAGTGTCAGAGTAAGAACTTGGGAGGGAAGGTATACTTTGCACGGAAGAGCAGGAGTGAAGGCCTTCTTGTCGTCATCCAACAGCAGTCGAGTCGCAGATTTAATGACCTTCCCGGTCGAGTTTCAAACTGCAAGGAAAATGAAGCGTTGTTGTTTACAATATTTCTAGAAGGAAAAGCAAAAAATTGTTCTATTCTTGCGTGTGCGTCGTCCATTCCTGAATGAGCTCAAAATAAAGACTTAGTTTTCAGGGGTGATATGTCCATGTCGTATCATATCTTGAATGGTCTCTTTGACGATAGCGGCTGCGTCTCTAAATTCCATATCAAGATCTTGAATTATTTTCGCGTTGGTAGGCACTGGTGAATTTCCAAGTTGGTTCCGTGTGAACACACCAGCTTCACCACCGGGGACGACATAACTCATCGTCTTTATGACAGACGTCATGACCTTTGAGACTAAACTTCTCGTTGGCGGTTGGAAACCTGCTTCAACCAAGAGATCTACAAGCTCGCGGTGTGAGACAAGCCTATCGCAACAACATATGTAACGGCCTGAGGCGGTGTCTGACTCCATCGCCCGTATGTGAGCTTCAGATACATCACGGACATCAACAAAAGTAAAGGATAGGTCAACGACACCATAGAACTTCCCTTCAACAGTGTTGGCGATAATAGTCATTGTCTCATTCATGGGCTTGATTAGAGACGGTCCGATAACTCCGACCGGGTTGATCACGACGAGCTTCATCTCGGGGGCAGTTTCTTCTACGAATTTCCATGCTGCTCGTTCCGCCATAGCCTTCGAGTGATAGTAGGCAAGACTGTCTACAGTCGAGGTGGTGTTCCAATCACCCTCATCAAAGACCTTGTTTTTCTCCCCGTGATCAGTGACAGCCGCAAACGAGGACGTGAGCACAACCTTCTTCACCAAAGCCTTATGACAAGCCTTCAAAAAGCATAGCGTACCATTCACCGCTGGATCGATGAGATCCTTTTGTGGGTCCTTGGCGTTCAGGAAGTACGGACTCGCGATATGCATTGCATAATCGCAATCGGCAACCGCCTCATCAAACGACCCGGGCACCAATAGGTCGGCCTCGAAAATCTTGAGCGCACCCGGATATCCGTCGAGCGCGGTGAGATGCTGGGTCTTCTCCGGGACATTCTTGCGCACGGTGCCGTGGACGGTATACCCGCGGTGCAAAAGGTCGCAGGCGACTTGGGCACCGATGAAGCCGCTGACGCCGCTGACAGCGACTTTGGTGTCAATGGACATGGTGACGGCGGAAAGCTCGGTGCGTGGAGAGGGAGGGGGATGCTGAGAGGACGTGTGAGGGAGGCCGCAGAGTGGGGATCCGGGATAGCGGAACGGGAAGCGAGAATGAAAGATGGGAAATCGATGCGGGGTGGGAAAAGTTGGAATCCGGCGACACGATAAAAAGTCTTGAATTTGCGGGTGTCGCTGATAAATTAGTACAGGCCGTGTGGCGGCAGAAATTTGGTATATTGATTTTCGGTCTCGGTTTTTCCGGAGCGTGCTTTGGTTGTCGGCATCCTCAAACCGGCGTGCTGTCGAGGCTATTGTTGAGGCCAATGGGGTTATGTTGATAAAGATGATTGTTTCTTTCGAGGCCTGCCACCCAGTACTCATTTTCCTCCTCCCTCCCATTGCTCGTCTTCAACGCCAACTAATTCCAGCACCGCAAGATATTACCGTATATCCTACGTCGTTTCTTTCGCTACCGCCCAGCCTACCTTCATGACCTGACTAGTTTTATGTCTCTGTATTCTCCTGTCTCCCACCCCACATCGAAATGCCACTTGTTGAGGAAACTGAGGTGGGCAAATCAAGATATCTCTAAAGTGGATCATAATGAACTGTCCAGAGGTCGTGCTGATAATGAGGTATGTTTTTAGAGTGCACGAATGAATGCGTTCCACATCTGAACTTACAGCCGTCCGTCGACGAACTCTTACTGTATTCTTCAGTCCTTATGACGGAGCCCAGAGTGTTTCGCAGCCGCCTCGCTTTCGCGCTCGCATCATACTGCACAGTACGTCGACATACATATCGCATCGTTTTGCTGAGCTACTACTGTAGATTGCTTAACAACAGCAACGGTTTCGCACTGCACAATGAAAAATGTTCTGATATGATCCATATAAGAAGGACCGTGCCCCTACATTTCGCTCATTCAAAAGACGATGGATTTGCTGTTCTCACGCAGGCATGCTTCTTCATTTTCGCTAACAATTGTTCTCTTTTATGGGCCCTTCTTCTATTCAACTTCGCACCATTACCCCTCTGAAGTATTTGTTCGCAGAACAATAGACCAGTATCATATAGAAAAAAAGTTGTGTTGCACGATGGTAAAATGTTGGTCACCATAGCTGCAGCTGTCACCTCTTTCGACATGTAAACATTTGATTCGTGCTTTCCCTTAGCAGAACTGATGGGACATTTAGAAACCAATGCGTTTTGGACGTGGTCAGGCGTACAACTTGCAATTTGACCTTCCTTCAGTACTGTAGATGGTTCTCTGTAAACAAAAACTGTTTGAAGTGTTCATCTCATGATGAGAGTTGGTTATCCTTGGTAATGGGCCCTATAAGAAACATCTTCCGATGCATCCCCATGTTGAAGCGCATATTTTCGTTTGTGTTTTTTAATGATAAAATAATTCTTCGCTTGTACGTATATTACGTACAAGTACAGGGGGGGGTTGCTCAATAGTGCCAACTTTAGTAGTGCTTCCCTCTATATAGTGCTATGGCTCCCCCTCTGGCACAGGTTATCATAAGCTCACACGTGTATCATCCGGCATGGTTCAGTACTCAAAGGATGAAGTTATTTAGTTGTGTTATACAGGCTTTGTTGTGTTTGTGTTAGCAGTGTGCTTCGTCTGTCGTCGAAAGGGGGCCTTGTGCTTCGCGTGCACTGCTCTCTGTACGATCAGGGAGCGGGATTGGCGCGCGGGGAAAAGGAGAGAAAGGATAGTATGAGAAGGGAAGTAGAGGGGGGGTGAGTGATCCGGCGTTGCGCCTTCAGGGGTGAGAACGGGCTCCGGCTTGTGCCTTCGCAGACTAGAGTAGCGTAGAGTTGCTTGCTCGAGTTGTTTATTGTTCTGTCTCGGCGTGGGGAGCTCGGACGTGGGCGTAGTACATATAGGTCCATGTAAGCTTGCCGTCTGCGGGGACGGTAAGCTTACAGCCCATGTTCTGTAAGCACGCGGGATATCAATACCCAAAAAGGTGCATGCACCTTTTTGTGCGGTGTTATCATATCAAATTCGCCGTACAGTATATATGCGCGTGCGCGACACTCCCTCCCATGGGCGTCGGACCTTCCGTAGTTGACACGAGATGGCGCCACAGCGGAAGCGGAAGCGCAGGGGGGGTCGACGCCGTAGTCTGCGGGAGCACGAACAAGCGCCACACCAGCAAGTATCCCGCGCACAGGCGTCCCCTGCACAATCATCCCACGTTTCTACGCCTCGCGTCTCACCACCGCGCGTCTCATCTCCTCGCGTCGTGTCGCCTCGCGTCGTGCCGCCTCTCGTCGTGACATTATACGACCCGTTCGTTCGCGCTCCGTCTGTATCGCTGTCGGACAGGTATTCATGGCTACAGTCGACGCCTTCGCTTTCGTCGCGGTCTTCGTTATCTTCGCGCGCTGTGTCTCCGGGACCTCCGCCGTCGCGAGCTTCATCATCATCCCGCGCCTTCTCATCTCGAAGTGCTGCGTCCCGCGCAGCATCGCTGCGCGGTGACGCGCCTTCGACCCCGCTGAGCGAGGCTTCCACGGCAGTTAAGGCGGCGGAACCTCTACCCAGGATTGAGCTGCGGGACGGCTCTCCTGTGGTACAGAGTGCCCCGCCTGGGGTTGCAAAACCGACTGCCGTGTATGAGGCGGCGGGGAGATGGTTGGTAGAGGCCATGGTGGTGGGTGAAGGAGAAGCCGGCAGTGGCGGGGCCAGGGGGATGCCGGGCGTGCCGTATGCGAGTGCGCAGGGCACCGCCCCGATGGAGGCGTTCCACGCCGTGGAGTTGGACGCTAGAATCTTCGAAGGGGTTGGTGAAGGTGAGCTAACTTTGCAGACGTACCCATTGCTGGGGTCGCGGGCTGCAGAGCGAAGCCAACCCTGGCCGCCGTGCGTCGTGCCAGCCCGACGTAGGGCTGCGTCAAGGCAGCTTCGGGAGGAGGAGGTTGCCAGGCACGTCCTAGAGATCCTGCGGCGGAACCGGGGCGTGGTGGTCCGGGTTTCTGGCATTGGCGCACGTGAGGGAGTGGCTTGGCGCTCGTCGAGCCGACAACACCTCCCGGGGCAGCCAAGGTGCAATTCCGGAACGCACGACTGTGTGAAGGCGGCCGTGATAAACGCTGCGTTCGCCTGCCGTGGTCTCGTGGCAGCGGAAGCGTTGGAGCAAGTGCTAAAGAAGGAGTCACGGATATTACACAACTTCAGGGAGCTAGGAGTACTCTTTCAAAGGGCGCATGAATCGGTGACTGGCTGTCGCGTGGTGCGTGACGAGGAGGTTCAGAAGGCCATCCAGGGCGGCGAAAGGATAGCGCCCTTTCGTGTACTTGCAGCCAGGCGCACAGGGGTCTTCATCGTGCGGATTCTGGAAGAGAAGCGGGTGGATCACGCCCTCGTGGTGGATGCTTACAATGGGGTCATCATTGATTCCGAGGAACGAACGGCACTTGTGCTCTCAGCTGACAATCTTGCTAGATGTGGAGGTGACGGTGCGAAGAAGCTACGAGTGGTAGAGGTACGAGAGATAAGGGGTAGGAAGGGGAAATAAAGCGAGCTGCTACGGAGGAGAGCGAATGGCGTTTAGACTTAGTTGCGAATGATCCACTGCTCAGGGTGAATCGAGAGCATGCCCGTAGATACAGCGGCTTGTAGAGCAGCTTGAGACATCGACTTGGTCAGGCCGTCGGCGATGTTACTCGAGCTACGAATAAACCCAATGTCTGAAATAACCTTGTCGCGGAAACCTTCTCGCGCAGCTGCGATATCCAACATCGTGCGCTTCTCTGACGTCCTAGAACCCTTCGAAATCACATCAAAGAGGGACTTAGAATCAGTGAGCAGCTGGACCGGGATGCGACGGCCATAGATCTCGCCGAGCTCAGAGGCGAGAGTGGCAGCGATGTCGAACAGGTCACTGAAGGCGATGACCTCTCCAGCCATGGCAGAGCGGACAACCCGTTTAGACTTGTACGACTTGAAGCTGATCGGTACGGAGCGGCCGTGTCCATCAGCAAGGAAGCAGATATGGCCAAGCTGCGTGGACAGGTCGTGGTTGTTGGCGAAGGAGGCGTCGGCGAAGCCGATGACGCGAAGGGACTCTTGATCGAGGGTGGCGATCTTGAGAGAGACGCGGTGGTCCGTGGCGTATCTTGTCGCTCTGTTGAGGCGGCGGACAATCGCGGGCTGCTCGGCAAGGAAGCGGTCCTCAGTGACCTGTGCAAGTTGAGAGATCTCAAACTGGCAGTCCGGGCGGGTGTTGGCGAGCCACGCAAGTCTCATGCGCATCGACCGGAACTCTGAGAAGGACGCGTCGAGATGGAGCCGCTCCAGTTTCTGCAGATAGAAGTGCTGGTTCTGTTCCAGGCTTCCATCTTTGCCGCGCGCAAGCGAGAAACCAGAGAAGGTGCAAGGGATATGCTCGTCCTCGCCCATCTGGAAGCGCTCGCTGGTCTTCTTTGCCAGTTGACGGAAGCCAGGAGAGCCGGCGCGTAGCAAGTCGTCAACGTATCCGCCGCTAAGGCCCATGAGGCGACCATTTGACATGATCTTGTAGAGAGCCGGGTCAGACCGAAACGGGGTCATGCCAAGGTCATGTCTATGGTGCTCGTCTAGGGTCTTGTGCCAGAGGTCTCCGGAGTCACAGAGGCCGTACAGGGGTTTGAGCAGCTTTAGACACTGTTCGGGTTGTAGCTCGAACTCAGGGACGGGCTTGGTGATGAAAAGCTCTCTAGAAAGCGGTTCGGCGGACTGGAGGTATGCTTGGCGGACATCAGAAGACCAGATGTCGAAGCCGTGAATCGAAGCGAGGGCAAGTAGGAGGCGAATGGATTGGGGCTGTAGCGTGGCCGCACTGTGGACCATGAGGGCCTTCATGCGGTCGCGATGTCCACCTATTACGTACCGCGCCTTGAACTTGACTTGACCGTCTTCTGCGGACTTGATGGCAAGCACAAAGCGACCTGGTAGTACGTTGCCGTCGGGAGGAACCTCTTCTCGAAGGATGACGCTAAATGTCCCGCGGTCGAGTAGCTCGCGAATCTCATCACGTTTCGCTTGGGACATGTCCGAAGAAGTTGCTCGGGGTCCTTTGGATGAATGACTTCGGTTAAGTGAACGCAGTCATCGTCATCACCCGGAGACGAGAAGTGCGAAAGGCCACGATGAAGGTCGGCAAAGAAGGAGTGGGCGCCATCCATTGGGGCGATATAGCGCTTGACTTGGGCGACATTGAAGGGGCGAGCCGCACCGATCTTGACATCCTGTATGTATACAAGTTTCTTGCTGGCGTCCATCCCGAGTACCGTAAAGGGACCGAGCCATTCGCCAATGCGGTGATTGACGATTTTCTCGCGCCAGACTAGGACTTGATCGCCAGGGTCATAAGCGCGGTTTG